AATAAAAGGGTTCTCTTGTGGTTTACCTTTTCTTTTTTTTAAGGTCTGTATCTATATGCATGTGGTAAACTTACCAGTCCAGTAGCTCATTTCCTTCTTAAGTCTTTGCTTGAGCAAATTGTGTAAACTATAAAAAAAAACTGTGGACATGTTCTTTTAAATACCTGTATATGTTCTGGTTATCCGCCATTTGCTGGTGCTCATGTTTACCTTTCTATTCTCCCTTTTTCTGAAAGAACTAGTATGTGCCACATCATCCTAACTTTGCTGTTGGGGTGGTTTTCCTCCTGTTTGGGTTTGTTTTTCTATGCCTTGTGTAAATTGTGTCTTGCAATGGCTTAGTTGACATTGATTTGAATTTTACCTTTGTATCACAGTTGTATTTATAATTTCCTTTTCATAACCCTGTTGAAATTCACCTACACTAAGGACTTTTCTTGGCAGATCTGTATTGGGGTAGATGCATTCACAGTTCGAGACTACTGTTCAATGTCTTTTTAAAAAGTTTAGCTTTTTTACTGTTGTTTTCTTAACAAACTTTGTTTTTAAAAAGCATGGAAAAATATCCATACTCACAGATGGTAGCAAGTATCCGTATGTGCTTCTGTTTGACTTAACCAAAACAGGAGGTTTTCATATTCTCCTCCCCCCTCCCACCCCCACACACTACTTGTTGCGTTTAGTGGCTTAATTTCCCCAAGAGAGAAACCTTTTTAAGATGTAGGTATCATTTTTACTTGTTCAAACTGCATTGGGTTTTGCCAGCCATCTGTGAAGATAAGGGAATAAACTTGGCGTGTGTCACAATCTTAGCTGAAAAATGCAATTTTCCCATCATTTCCAATACAGTTTTTTTCCACTCATCATCTGCGGAATAAATGCTCATACTAAAATTGAAGAAGCTAGTGACTCATCAGATTAAGCAACTAAAGAACATTTTCCCCAGGATAGTAAATGGACTTTTTCCTCTCTTGATATCTGAAATGCAGCACTAGTACTATCCTAGAGGGTAAAATGAACGCCAAAAATGCTGGTACAGAAATTTCTGAGGGCTGGAATTTCAGATACTGAGCAAACAGTTATTTCACTGCAGTTGGTGATGCTCATCCCTGATGATAAATGTGTTACAAATACAGAAAGTATGTGTTTATTTTTTAATTGCGTTGTATCCGAGTAAAGATTTTGAATATCGCAATTTGTTCACTTATTTCCCCCCACAAACCATTGTGTTAGTAGAGACCTAGTCTTATTGAACCATAAGAAATAACTTGTGCTTCTGCAGAATGAGTGGAGTATGGCACCCCGGCAATATCTGCATGTAGCTTCCCCTCTTACTCTCTTTTCTAATGAGATTTGTGTGGAAGTGGCTTTGAATAGCCTTTGTTTTCTCACATCACTTGTACTGATGGTTTTGGGGGAAGTTATAAACAAGTGTAGGCTTTTGCTGGTTTTGTCTCAGTCAGGTTATTTTATGCATTGGAATAAAATGCACGTAATTTTTTCCATTGTTTGACTGTCATCATTTGGAAGACAAAGTTTAAATCAGTTTCTAAGAAAGCAATTATTTCTTTTTAAGTATAAATTCATTTTTTTGCAGCGAATTTACTTTGACATATCTGTTACTAATATCACAAATACTGTGGTCTCAAAGTCTATTACTTTTTCACCCTTAGAAGCTGGAATTTTGTTATGTTAATCTGGAATATAATAGATGATAATCTTTCCTGGAAGTGCGTTCATTTTAAAGCACACATTCTTTTCCTAAGTAACACTCTTCTGTGGATCTGTCACTTGTAGCTTCAGTTTAGATTTCAGGAGAGTGAAAACCAAGATGGAATCTAGTAAATATGTATCATGTTATAGAAATTGTGCTTGGTTTTGAAAATTGATCATAACTGAGGACTACAGCAGTTTACATGTACAAGAATGTACACATTAGAAGTAAATTGCATTTATAGTTTCAGCTGTGTTCCGTGTTCATGAATGGCTTGGAAGCTTCATTGCGCTGGTTGAGTTTAAATATGTTTTGGGCAGGTCCTGTGAAAGGAGGCCTGATTGCCTGTGTTGCTTTTCCAGCACATTTCAGCGTTGTCTTAAACCATGTGGGTGTTCATAATGTTATACAGCAGCACACAGAAATGAAAAGCAAAAGTAACATTATATAATTGGTAACTTTAAAGATGCATCATGATACATTTAAATGGCTGCACAGTATTTCTGCCTGTGGTGCTGCTTTTCCCCTCTTTTTTTTTCCTTTTCTGGTGTTCATTGCTGTTGGTGCTTGTATCTTGGTGTAGGTTAAAAGCCTCAGGCAGATGAAGGGCATTTTGTTTCATTTCATGTGATTGTGGGTATATTTCTGAGAGCTCAAAATTTAAGTAATCAATCCAGTAGTGATTTGGGGTAGAGGGAGGGCACGAGGATCCCTTGAAGCAGAACTGCTTGTAGAATTGCAGTGCTGATTTACACAATTTAGTTTTCCATGCATTGAGCAGACAGAATTATTTTTAACTCTTTAGTGTTAGTAGGTTCCTACAGCAAATGTTTGGGTGTTTGGATTGTCGCTACTGCTTGAGCGTCGATGTGTTAGAGAAGGGTAGAAGGAGGGAGTGTCGAATAACAGACATCTGTGTGTTATAACATAAAACACCTTTGTCATGTTACTCAGACCACATAATTATTGGAATTTTATCAGGATACTATTTTATCTTAATACTCCTCTTTTTTTCCTTTTTTTATTTGTGTTTTTTTACTTAATGGATGGAAAGGCCTGGTAGGTTGCTCTGAAATTCTAGTAGATTTTGTGGTTTTTGTGGTCTCTTAGCAACTTCATCTGTACATGATAGAGCTTTTGCTCACCAGCTGTCCAAGTTAAAATGCAAAACATAATAGAATATTTCTATGGTGCATTTTAATGTAAACAACAATCTCTCCAGTATATTTCACCCTGTTGACCGAGCTAGTGTCTGTTGTGTTGCAAAAACAAATATTCTCTGGGATTATAGTGCTTTGTTCTTTGCTGAACATTTATTTAGTATTGTTCCTTTTGTAAAAAAAATGAAATAGATGTAATGTGAACAGATATGAAACCATTTTACAGAATGTCACAATAAAAATGTTAACCATTTCCATTGCCATTTGCAATGAGAGATGAAATAAGGTATCTTTTAAAGATTAATATTCTTATTCTGGTTTGGATATTGCATAACTTTTGCAGAGAAGGTTATTTTGTGTACGTGTGTGTGTGTGTTCATGCTAATTGTATGGTTCTTTCAAAGGTGGGGAGTAAATATTTCTCCCTTCCTCAAGCCAGAGGAAATCTGCATCCCTGAAAGATGAGATTTGATTGCCCCTCTTTAGTGTGTAGGATTTAAAATATTGTTTCAAAATTAGACTGTCTGTGTGCAAGTCCTGCTTCAATTTTTTAATCCATTGCTAGAGATTGTCTTTACAGTCCCGTGTGACAGAGATGCATTTAAATAAATGACAAGTAAGTCTAATGCTATTTACCCCACTGTTCCCCTGCTCCTCGAACTTCAACGCACCGATGAAATTATTAATAACTTTTAAATATTCATCACAGGGGACTCTAGAACTGAATACAGCAGAGTCTTGTTTTCTCCAACCTTCTTGGATCATTTAGTCATTTATGTGTAAGCATTAGATGAAAAAGGAGGGATGAGGACATAGGCATTTACAATATTAATAGTCCACATATTTAAACTTTTCAATGTATTGCAAAATTCATCCCAGGGGTATTTTCCAGTAACATATTTATGAAATAAAATACTGTACTTTGAGGCATATCCATACTCCTGTTTTGATTTGCACCACACTTTTCCATGCACATTGGAAATACACAACAGAATGTTCCTGGCCTGAAGATAAATGTGATTAAAAAAAGGACGTTTACATTGCATATAGTTTGATGTTTTAATGTGCATTTTAGCTGTCTGCACAGGATTTGACAGAGTTTGTTGTGCTATTCAGCATCTAAGGACTGTTAAATATATGTGGGAGTTAGTTGTGCTACCTTTTTTGACCATTTCAGATTTCGTATCAACACCTGTTTAGTGTTAAAGGTAAAGGTAGATACTTATTTCCGTTGAATATTCTTTTGTGTTGTACGTTGTTAAAAAGAATTAAAGGAGTTTTCTTGATACCTAATATGAAGACTACTGAAAAAGTACTGATAAGTTTGTCATTTTCTTTGTTCTGGATTTCCTTTTATTTAGGTGTATTCTTTAGTTCAAGGAGCGTCTGGATGATGCTCTTCGTCATATGGTTTAGTTTTAGGTAGTACTGTGAGAAGCAGGGAGTTGAACTCGGTGATCCTTGTGAGTCCTTTCCAACTTTAGATACTCTATGATTGTATGATTTAGGTTTCTAATTGAGTATAATTTCGTTGTATTGACTGCAAAATACATTAATCTTCCTGCTTTTCCTCCCTCCCCCTCAAAAAAACCAAACCAAACAAATTAAAAAAAAAAAAAAAAGGAGAAACAGGTATCAGTCTGAAACGAGAATATAAGAATGAAGAAACTCACTATCAGATTATGAATGGGAGAGTGAAACTGCAATAGTGTAATCTAAAACGCTAGGATCTGGAGTAAAATTTCTATAATCAGTTTTTTCACATATCTGAGTAATGATATAGGTGTTAAAAATGTTGTAGTTGCTTTATTAATTTTGTAGAAGATCTCAAGGACTGCTTTCTGTGTTTCTGGAACAAGGACAAAGCCTGAAAAATAAATAGAAGTTGCATGCAACAACAAGTGTGTGTAACTCTAGGTTGTAACCTAGAAAACCAGTAAAATTAAATGATGCTGATAACCTGATTTCGTGGTTAACCTTAGTGTGCAGTTCAGTATGCGTGTACTCTGTAATTGTCCAGAAATAAATGCATTCTAGTGATGGAACAGAAATAGTGTTCTGAGTAATTTCTCACAGTCTTTTCTCAGACACATTCATACCGAAGTGCTTTCTCTCTTTGTTTTCAGAGTTGCAATAGTTTCCAAGTCTTTTGAAGGAAAAACTGATCGAACAGAAGACTGGTATGGAACACAGTACAAGCAAGAAGCAATTTCTGATGAAGTTATTAAGGCATGTTAAAACTTTTAATATATTCTAATATCTGCAAGTGAAAGAAAGTGATAAATTCTTTGTCTAATTTTTTGTTTAGTTGAAGGGAGAACTTAAATATACTGCTCTACATTGCGTGAAAATTGTACAATGAGGCTGTTCAATGAGAAGGATCTTATGTTGGTCTTTAGATTTCAAATATTTATTACGTGGGATAGATAAATTTTAATGGTTTTAAACCATGTTAAGTACAGGGACTGTTACACCATTTTTGTGGTAAAAGATCCATAATATGTAGTGGCTACTTAAAAATGTAAGCATTAACTTTTTAAAACTTAGAAGTTTCTATTAGATGTTAATAAACTAATCTGTTCTTAAGAAAGGATTTTTTTTAAAACTGCTGTATTGTAACAGTGTTTCTGAAATTGATTTTTACAACTTAGAAAATGTATATTTTGCAAATTAAATGAGCTTCTGAAATCAAAACTCCAACAAAGGCGGTGAGCAAATCCATAATGAAACTTGTTACTAATCTATTCTTTTAAGAAGAGATGGCTGTACAATACACCCTAGAGCTAAACTGGACCTGCTGAGCATGCTTTGAACAGACATTGCATAGGAATACTTAATTTCCTTTAGCTTGTCCATACTTATGTTCTTGATTAGAATTCTTGCTTATGTATTTAGTTTAATACCTTCATTTAGAGTTCACAGTAGCAGAAAAGATGAGACATAAAACCACATTCCACTCTACTGTAAACTTCTGAAGATTATTTTTTGTCTTTTGTCTTCTTCCTCAGAGAACTTCATCATGCTGATAGCGTACTCCAGCTTGGTTTCCCAGATATTCCTCTCTTTGCCTGTTATCTTAACAGTATTTACACATAAGCTAAATATATTTAGCTTATAAAAGAAACAAGTATATAGCCATTAATTAAGCAGAAATTCTGCTTAGCCTCATTCTTTCTCCTGTTTATCTAGACATGGCAAAATGCTGACCTGAATGGGAAATTCAAGCTTCCAATGAAGAACGAGTTCATTCCTACTAACTTTGAGATTTTGCCATTGGAAAAAGATGCAACACAGTACCCTGCCCTTGTCAAGGTAAGCTGTCTGTATTTGTTCTGTTTGCTAGCTCACCTTCTGGGAAGTCAGCAGTTAATTCCTATGTGTTTTTGAAATACAGATCATGTCATATTCCAAAGTAGAATAAACAAGAGAGTACAAAACTTAAACATATTGCTAGAAAGACAATAGGAATTTCATTCTTGCTAAATTTTGGATTATGACTGTTTGGGTTCCTATGAAAATGAATCTACAAGCAGCTTGAACTCTCTTTGCCCTTTTGAAAGTGTGCTAACAGTTGATAGAAATAATGTTAAAGCTGTTCATTCAGCAGAAGGGTGACTGCCACTCTTACATTTTTTTGAGCAGTGTTCAGTAAGTCAAGGGTGTAGACAAGGCTATTTTTTTTTTTTGTAACTGCATGTGGAAAAGGCTTGTGATTGCATGGAAATAGGGAGAGAGAGAGAGATGTAAACACGTAAATAAACATCATTCTCCAGTCTCCTGGAAGCATCATTTAATGGTCTCAGTACATTCAGCAAATCTCAGTTTTTCTGAGTCCCTAAAAATTACTTCTCGCTACTGAAGCATAGTTGTCTTTTCTAATGCTTCTGTTTTAGGCTTAGTTGGAGGATGAATAGGAAAAGTCTTCTGCAATTAGATGTTGTGCTTCAGCTCGAATACTCAATTCAGGAATACTTTTTACACAGTAGATTAATATAGTCTACTTTAGTGCAAAGATATCCTTCAGGAAAACGTGTTTGTTCTGCACAGCGCATTTTAGGTATATACTTGTAGTATTATTAATAGAGGAAGACTTGGAGCACATGTTTATGTTCATCCTGAACTGAAACCCTAAACCTCAGCAGGGACGCATACTACAGCTCTATTAAGTAGCACTAATTGGTTTGCTACAGAAACTTGATGGACCTGCAGTGTCTCTGTAGAAACTAGGCAATTGATCCGCACAAAAGCTTTGCTTGAAGGTATCATCGCTTTAGAGATGTGTTTGCTTTTAGTTTTTTCTTTCCCTTTAATATATGTTTTCTGAGGGAAAACATTTCTAATCTTCTGTAGCTGATGAAATAGACATTATCTGTTTTGCCTGCATCTTTTTAATTTTCTCCCCAGCTCTCTGTCTGTGCCATTTTACTTTTGTGGGCCCTGGCATTTGTCTGACCACACAGCAAAACATTGCAAGAACTACAGCAGCAGATATTAGCTGTAGAAAAAAGCATTTTTTCTGCTGTTTTATGTGCCTAAGTGAGCTTACTATGGACCAGACCAGTGTTGTGGAGACAGGGAGGGATGGGAATGTAAGTTCAGGAGCAGGATCGCCATTTTCGCCTCTTTTGTAATGGCACATCTTGCCCTGAAAAACCCTCAGGAAATATGAGGGCCAAATTGAAAAATGAGGGCCTCTCAAGGGCCAGATTTTTACTATGGACTGCAGCTAGCCATCTCCAGCTGTTGGATTAGTTCTCCAGTATTACAAGCAGTCTCTGCTGTTTATCACTCTGTCCCTGATGCAAGATGTATTCTAAACTGCATAGTAGCAATTCAACAGAATAAAAATTTTGTTGTCTCGGAGAGAAGCTGTAATTTGGCTTTTTAGTATGAGTCAAATATTGTGTAGAGGAAGGTGTACTGTAAGAGACAAGATTTACTTCTTTTATGCAAAAAGGTGGAGGAGAATTCCATGCCAAATCCCTGAGAAGCAAAGAACATCTGCTCAAAATTATGAGAAAGAGAAATAATTTTACATTTAAAAGTTCTATCTTCTTACGTATAGCAATTTAAAGAAAAGGTGTTGGGGGGGTAAGGTTAACTAGAGTTGGAACAGAGAGAGAGTATGTATTTCACAGGTTTTGTGGGAGACAAAGCAATAGGGAGGATGTTTAGATTCTTTCCTGTACTAGGTGTTTATTCTAAAAAGTTTTTGGTGACAGGTATTTTAACTAATTTCCAACTAGTTTTACTACTTTTTCTAAATGTGTTTTTTTTGTTACCAATATTACTTTAAAACGACATACAATGCATTAGTATTTTTTACTAAAAGCATTAAATACACAATTATGTTCTTAGTCTGAAACATGTAATTACACGGTGCTGTAGGGCTGCATAATGGTACATCTTTTAATGACAGCATTAGCAGGGAATTTTTTGAAGCTAACGCTATATTTGTCTTGTATCACTCCGGCTCGAGAGAAGTAGTTCCCATTCTGATCATAAGCTCATTCACAACGCTGCAGCCATTTGACTGCTTCTTAAGGTGACATACAGTAAGAAGACTCAATAAGGATAGATGGATGTATGCACAAATGTATATAGCAAGGATATGGATTTAAGGGGACAACAGTAAACTGAGATTTGAAGTGGTGAAGAGACTTTTTTTTAAATAGTGTAATATATTACAGTTAAAAGGTGACTTAAGAAAACCTCTTTCTTGACACAGGACACTGCTATGAGCAAACTGTGGTTCAAGCAAGATGACAAATTTTTTTTGCCAAAAGCTTGTCTCAACTTTGAATTTTTCAGGTATGCAATGTTAAGTATATCACATAAATTGCTCTCCAAATGTTTCTTGATTGTTGGAATCTGCGTTTCTGTGACAAAAACTTTCTTGCATGTATTGAGGCTTTAAAACGTTTGTCCTTACCTGGAGATGTGCAGTAGGATACAGATAGCAGAAAGGCTCGTGTAAGTTATGCGGTAGTTGTGTAGCAAGCAGCTTGAGGTGCTCCATCTATATTAACGGGAAAAGTTTATCTAAAAATACCTGAAAATTTTTTTCTTCTGTTTTATTTGCTAAAACTGAAATATGCCAGCCAATAGGACCTACTACATATTGCAATATACCTCTTTAAAAATGGGTGTGTATTATTTTTAACTAATGACTAAAACACAACTATTTTAAGGTAGTGTTTTCTTTATAAAATGCTATGCTGATAATGATTTTAGCTTCAAATTCTGTTGTAATTCACATAAAGTTGTGGGATTTTATTTAGCTGACACCGACAACTGATTATTTTTTTTTTAGAAGAATACTATCTGTATTGCCAATGAATGTGTGATTCTTACCTCAAGATGCATGATAAAGTGCTATAATGTTAATTCTTGTCTTGCATTATTTTCATCACAGGAAAATTACTGCTTTTTTTAAGTGAGCATGACAATGATGTATCTTTTTAGTATTCCTTTCAAGCAATAATTTTAACTTTTGAATTAGAAAAGAATGCTGCTGTCTTTAGGGTGCAGCTATTTCTGTGTTGGATTACAGAAAGTGAAAATAACTTCAGGAAACTCTCCTTCTTTGGCCTAATGAAATGATTCAGTGATATTGCTGGAAAGGCTGTTATGTGGGCTCTGAAAGATGCTCGTAGATGCACTGTTGAGTCCTTGTTTTCAGTGACACTTGAAATTTTTAGTGACAGAATTTTAGATAGAGGGTTTTTTCAGAGTGTCAGATCTTGGTATTGGTGTTGGTACTAGTTGGGAAAAAGGTTGCCTGGGCTTTTCCTTTTTCTTTTTACTCATGAAATCACAAGGCAAACATTACAACTGTTTCAACTTTGTGTCCAGGACATGGAAGATCAAAATGGTAACAGCCTTCTCTTAGAGAACAACAATTGCAATACTTTGCCTTCTTTACTCATGCCTGGCTTTCCTTTGTACTATGTTTGGCCAAAATCCAAAATAGGATTTTATTGATGGACGCTGACTTTATGTTAATATAGTTGTGGGTTTTTTTAAAAGAACAATTCCAAATGAACTATGAGCGATGCAATCTCTATACCAATTTGTCAACGATTAAAAGATGAGAGTTGATTTTATGTAGAGCACACAAAGGTAGAAGTGTGTGCATATATGCACAGTATCATGGAGTCATAGAATGGTTTGGGTTGGAAGGGACCTTTGAAGGTCAGCTAGTCCGACCCTCCTGCACTGAGCAGGGGCACCTTCAGCTAGACATGTGGTGATGGTCTTTCACAGGTAGATTTGCACTTTCATCTCACTGAGCCCTTTAAAAAAGCCAGGAGTACTTGGGCTTTGCTGACTAGTGTAACGGAATGATTTGCTTCTTTTCTTAGGGTTGGGAGTGAGGGTTCTTTCCTTTTCTTTAAAAATGAGATGGTAACTTTATATGAACGGATGTGGAGGAGATTTTGACAATATTGGGTAGATCATCTCCAAAAGAAGTTGTAAGCAGGTTTGTCTGGTTTTGATATTTAAGAAAGATTCTGAATGAATCTCTCAGTTTTGAGACTGGTCATGCTGATGATCATTGGAGGAAATGGTGGAATGTATAGTGTTTGTTCATGAGACTTAACGAAATTACCCGTAGCTCTTGTGGCCAAGTGAATTGGTGAATAAAGCCATCTTAATCACATGGGTTTTCATAACAAGTTTTAGCCTCAGTTCTAGATCAGAATATGATGGCTTGTAGCAGGTTAGCAGAACTTGTTCACACTACAGACAGCTTCAGTAAGATGGGAAAAACTAGGAGGATTTCTTCTGCCTGCAGCCCTGATCATCACAAATCATTGGAAGAATTCCTGACCCAGATGCTATAGCAGCAATTGCTGTGTAGATGAATTAAAGAGGAAGTTGATGAGGGTAGTTTCTCCCTCAAACATACAAATCCAGTAGGAACAATCAAAGTATATAAACCTCTTGAAGCTGGTTTGTTCTGAAACTGAAAATCTTTACAAGGCACAAGTCTTGCATTAAAGAAACGCCACAGTAAAAACCTCTGACATGGGACTTATCATCCTGCCTAAAGGATGATGATAATCTTTTGCTTTTGTGTGAATTGTGACTTAAGAACTCAACAAGTGTCCTTTTTTAAAAAGGAAGCAAAATAACAATGCAATGTGCTGTTGTTTTGAAAACTTTCTAAAGGTAGTTACAAACTCTGCACTGCAAGTTTCCCGAGGTTTAGAGAGATGAATGTTAAAAACGCAATGCTAAATATTTTTAACTGGATACTTGCTACTTTCCAGTTTAAGAAATATTTCAAGCAACTTGAGTTGCTCATAAGGTAATGCAGGATCAGCACTTCAGTGTTGATTCCAGCTATGTCACTTACAGCTCTGTTTGAAAGTGGAAAAGACTAGATTTCAAGATTTTTCAAATGCCCTCTAAGTGATCGAGTTGTTCTGCTTTCTCAAGTCTAGTTGAAAAAAGGTAAAGTAGAAATAAGCGTTTATTTACGCAGTTGTCAGTAATAGAAGGCAACTCCCCAAAACAGTGTTATAATTGGTTTGTGTTGTTTTTCCCTTGAGAATTAATGATTTGGTAGTCTTCGTTATTTTCAAAACTCCCCGTTGGCCTTTGTGAGCTAAATGAGTGTACAGAAGTGATAACTGGTACGGACATAGTAATCCCTCAGACTGATTAAGTCTCTATTCTACTATCAAAATGGAAAAGAATATAATGAGTTTGGAGGAAGGTTTATGATAACATGGGATTGACCTACATCTTGCTTTCAATTCAGTATTAATTAAAAACTTCAATATTAATTGGATTTGCATCGTTGGGCATATCGAAATTGCTCAGTTTTGGGAAATTCTCATTGTAGGGAGAAATGCAAATAGCAGAGTAATATTTTTTTCCTTTTTTTTCTTCTTAACTGACCTATTTGCTTAAGTTACACAAGCCCAAGCCCAGAATAATTAACCCAGTGGTAGTAAAAAAGCGTATCCAAGGCTAATATTTCATACTGCTTCCCACACTTCCTTTCCTTAGTCTAAAAACTACTTGGATCCTTCTTAAAAATACCTTTGTGTAAAGTATTTTAAAGTTATCAGCATGTGTGTTGTGGCGACGTGATCTTTGTTTTACTACATTAATGTTGGTATACGCTATGAAATACCATGCTACATAGGTGTAGATATGTACAATAGCATGTCTTAAATTAGGACCATTAGTGACTGTTTAGGGAAAATAAATGCAAATGGCGTGGTTTTGAATTGTAGATAGATACTGCGGATTATTTCTGTGAAACTGATAATGAATTTACATGCACTTCAGAAATAAATATTCATAGTACAAATAACTTGACTTTGCAAATATTTAAAACATAGATATTTAACAATTAGCACAGTTGAAACATGGTTTGAGTCTTTTGAGTTGCATTTGTCTTTTTGAGAAATTTGTGACAGTATTGTATGTGATCAGATGGTTCTACTACAACAGTAGAACTTGTATAGTTCTTGCCCTTAAAAATACAACACAAAAAATCATGGTGGTATGAAAATGGATATGCTAGACTTCTTTCCTGAGCTGAACTAAGCATGTACTGCATATTTTTCATACCACAAATTGCTAATATCTTAATTTTTGTAATAGAAACTACTTTATTTTCTGATAGTGTAGAAGTGTTAATTAAATTAATGTTCAGTACATGGGCTTTCATTTCAGTCTGTTAAATTATGTTGGTTGTTCAGGTTGTATTTAGTTTATTTTACTCCGGATGAATTCTGACTATGCAGCAAAGTAAATATAACGTGTCTTGATTTATGAGTACAAATAAGAGAATACCTCTGGAATTTCCAATATATTTGACATCGCTCAAACCATAAGCAAGCTAAATAATTATTTTCAGGTATGTTCATATTTGTCTTCGAAATAGGAATCCTTCATAATGGGCTCCATCAGCATACTCGCAGTAAATATTGTTTCCTTCAGAACAAACTTTAAAGGCAAAAAGAAACTGAGAGATAATTTAAACTGCATATTTTACTTTCAACATTTTCTTCCAGCCCATTTGCTTACGTGGATCCTTTGCATTGTAACATGGCCTATTTGTACCTTGAACTACTCAAAGACTCCCTCAACGAGTATGCATATGCAGCAGAACTAGCTGGCTTGAACTATGATCTCCAAAATACCATCTATGGGATATATGTAAGTACCCAAATCCAGGAAAAGCTTAGAGCCTTAAAACTACTTCCACTCATCAACATTTTTGTATTGATTTGATGGAAGGACTTTGATTTTAAAAATGGGTCTAAGGCTGTTACTCCTTTTGATCTTGGTTATTAACCATCCTTTCTTTAATTTTAATTTTAAGTTGAATTTTTTTCAAAGTCTTCAACAATCTTTCCATTCATATGAAGCAAATTTTCTTCTTTATTTTTATATTGTTCATGAAATCAGTCAGTTGTAAGATCTGTTCCTCCATTTAAAAAAAAAAAGAAAAAAGCAACCCTAATCCAATCTTACATATTTATTTCAGTTTGTCAGATAGTTGTTAAAGACTTCCTGACTGACGGGGTAGAAGACCCCCTTTTCATGCTATTAGATAAATGATACACTTCAGCTTTCCTGTTAAAGAACTGGTGATCATGAGGCTGCATATACATACTCTTCAGTCACGTTTCTTCATCCATTACCTTGTCACTGCTTGAGGTATCAAAGCATTTCTTTTGTTTTTCTTTTTGTTAGTCGCTACATTTATGCTGATCCTCTCCATTGCAACATGACATACCTGTTTATCAGGTTATTGAAGGATGATTTAAAAGAGTATACATATGCAGCACGCCTCTCAGGTTTGGTCTATGGCATTGCATCAGGAATGAATGCAATACTTGTAAGTAAGAAAAAAAACGCAGGAGGAAATAAACAGCTTGAGAGTTGTTGAGCTTGGAGAAAACATTTGACTTCCGCATTTCTAAATGAGATGGTTAATGTTTTTTTTCCTTGCATATATCTCATTAATTAAAGGCAAAGCCAAACTGTATTTTAATCAGTACTGAGTGACCTGTTTAAGGTTGCGGTGTCTTGTGAACGTGTGTGCAGTACAACTGTTGCATTCTGGTTCATGTTCTTGCTTGCTTAGTAATCTTGAAGGTGCTTTTGCTGGTTTCTGTGTAAAAAGATTAACTTCTGTTGAACGAATCTCACCTTTACAGACTTCGTTATAATTCTCTAATTCTGCTGTAGTGAGCTGTGGAAATGCATTGTGCATGTGTTTATTAGAATGCAGTGCTGGATATTTGTGGCTTTTCCTTAGTCTTTGTTTTTATTATACATTTTATTATCTGTTTTAAAGTGCTGACAAGACTTACTTGATAAGTACTGATATTATGATAAAAGGTTATTTCTTACTCAGCTTCTTCTATGAGATTCATGGTAGGAGATTTTAATAGTCTCTCTTGAAGTTTTGTTAAAAGCTTTTATTAACCATCATTTATACCAAAATGCCTTTTGAAATTTCCATAGAAGTATTATTTTCCAAAGCATCTTAGTAAGAGGATATACTGTATATTGTCTTCACATTTTCTGTATGAAAGAGAGTGCTGTAATTTCTTTTTTTATCCAGTGCAAATCTGATTCCCTGCTAGCATTCATTTAACTTACTGCGAACACGATTACCTGTTCTTGGTGTCAAAACTTGCTGATGTTTCCATGGTCAGAGTTAATTCCTTTGTGGGGGAGGTGGAGGGGTGTAATTGTCTTCATTTTCAGTCACAGTTTAGAAGTTTAGAGTTATTTTAAATATTACATGGTTTTTGTAGGGTCTTTATATTCTTCTACTCCAAAGATTCTATTTTCACGTATTGAAATCAGTTTACTCCGTTTTGGTATCTGGGAACTTCTAGTATACTTTTCTATATCATGAGAAGTTATATAGTCAATAGGTGTAACTGTGCGATGTTGATCGTTTGAGCAAGGACAGACACTACACTGAAAATGGTCACCCATGGTGATTGTTGAACAGTTTGGGTTCTTACGCTAATTAAGGACATCAGCCTTTGTTGTAAATCCATTTATGATAGCTTTTTCTTCAAATTCATGGTTCAAGTATGTTTCAGCAACTATAGCAGAAAAAATTCTTCCTACTGGAAAGCAGGAATTCACCTGTATGTTGGTTTGTGTCCTAAAATTTAGTTTTACCCATAATAATTAAACTGCACAAATACAGTTAAATTCCTGGTTTGAGATACCAAATTTTGAAGTTGTTTTCCCCCCAAAAGGCCTTCTAATGCCTTTGTGTAGCTTGATGCAATCATAGAGTAATTTTTAAGTTCCTGTGTTGTTTTTTTTAAATGACCAAGTTTATTTCGTATATACTTTCAGAAAGATGTGTTACGATCAGATCGATATCTCAATAAGATTGTAGACTACCTTCGTGTTTCAGCCCAGCAGCATCCTGGTTATAAGTTGTGCTGCTGTGGACAGTACCCGTTTTCTTGTAATACTGCTTACTTCCACTTACATAAAATATTTTTTTTTGAGCAATGAGATAAATGTGAAACAAGGTTAAAAGTAAATTGGAGGGAATATTTAAGAAGGCTGTGAATATAGATTCCATTACTGAAATGAGACACCTAGAGCAAAACCATGTCAGTACTCCAAATGTACAGTTTACTGACTGGACTCAATACTTATAATAATTAAAAATCTGTGTTCTGAGTACAATTTGCTTACATCAGCATGAAATCGTGTTAATTCTCTGTGTTCATAACTCCTGTTCCAATATGCTATATTATAATCGTCGGTTAGTTATCTTTTGATGGGTAAAGGGATTTTATTTCAGAATGAGTTAATGCTGAAGAACATTGAATTTAGAGTAAGTGCTGAAAAGCGTGTTGTTCATGGAATTATACAAGACTTGGTAATTGTTCTATTCTTTTATATTCCACATTTAAAGCAAATTATGCGCTTTTTCCATAGCTCTCTGTAAAAGGTTATAATGACAAGCAACATATCTTGCTCAAGAAGATCATTGAGAAAATGGCTACTTTTGAGATTGATGAAAAACGATTTGAAATTATCAAGGAAGCGGTAAGCTACATGAGAAACTTACATTTTGGAGAAATTTAAAATTGAATGCATTGACTTGAAATGGAATCTGAGGGCTGATTATGCATGGAAATATAGAGTGAATTTCTGCCTCATTGGGACTGCAGAAGCTGTTTTCTTTTGTCTTTTTTGTGGCCATGTGTTCCCCAGAGTGTTTATCTTGCATTCTTCGGTTAAAAATAACTGGCCCTGGAATCTTCTATCAGTCAGTCTTTCTTACTGATTGCAACTTGCTTTGCTAGGAGTAGAAATCTAAGAAGGCAGACAGGATGGGGAAGTCTTAACTTTGTATCCTGTTTTACAATTTGGAAAGGCCCCAGCGGGATCTAGCCAGAAAAGAAGGGGGAAATGGATGAAGGGGGAAAGGAAGGGTTGAAAAGATTTGCAACATTTCTTCTCCCCAGATGGGAAGAGGAGCTCTGCTCCTGGGCCAGGATCCTTTGGTGCAAAAGTACCCAGCTGGTGAAGCACATACTGACTTCTGGATGTCTGACTTCCTATATTTAATGACTGATCTATATATACGGAATATAGGTTAGATTTTTTAAGCTCCTGAAGTAAATTTATGAACAGTGATTACATTTGCTAAGCCAAACAAGATACATAATTGTTCTTCAGGTGCTTTCTTTAGAGCAAGACAGAGGTACAACAAAGGAAATGGGCAGATTAGATACTGGCACCCATAGCAGTGGGTGATTGTGGAGGCGTAAATGAGCGCGCAAGGATTAGACTGGTCTTGGGGAACAGGCTGACTTAGAAATCATAGAATCATAGAAAGTTTTGGGTCAGAAGGGACCCCTAGAGGTCATCTAGTCCAGCCCCCCTGCAGTGAGCAGGGACACCGCTAACTAGATCAGGTTGTTCAGAGCCCTGTCCAACCTGGCCCAGAAAGCTGGCAGATAGTCTGAAGTAGATGAGAGAGCTAGGGCTACAGGGGAGATCACTCCACGCTTGCTATGGTCTTACATTAATAGTCTGCTGCCGGTGATTTTTGAACAGGTGACTGGCCTAGACAGACACCGGGGGGCCATCTTTAATTCTATTTAGTGGGAAGTTCGAAGCAGGTGTACATCATACATGAGGTAGATTTGTTATAACAGCACTTTATTTAGGTCTCTGTGTACCTCAGATACAGGAATTGTCTGAAAAGTTTTAACTGGATGTGACAAATGTCAAGGTAAAAAAAACCAAACCACAGGTCTGTGAGTGATCTGTTTTGGATGATTTTCTTTTGGTTTAAGATGTTTCCCTGGTTATCTTTACAGTTCGCTTGAACTTTGTATTATGCATGTTTTGTCGTTTTATAGACTTTTGTTACATAGGTCTTTTGTGTATGTAGAATAAGGACAAAATACAAAAAAGTCAGATCAGAGGGGGAGACTGCAGTTTTTCCCCACTTGTCTACACTGAACAGGTAAGGGAGATATCAGCTTCTGGCTTCCGTTTGGAGTGGATAGAAGGATGCTTCCTCAGCAGCTTCATGCTCGCTGTTTTTTCTCACTCATGTGCCCTGAAATGAATTACTTTTCTCTTATACTGGAAATGATCCCAGCTTGCCAAAGCTTACTAATTTGCACTTTCCACTTCCTCTGGCAGAGGAGGAAGGTTTTGCTTATTTTGTGAAGGTGCAGCTGGACTAGAAAGGAGTTTCTTTGGAGAAGCTCACTGATTCTTCTCTTGTACCTCCGTTATCCAGGCAAAGAATGCAAAGAATTTTCCAGATGGTCCTGTATTTTTCTAAGTAAGTCAGCCTAGGGAAGCAACTGGGAGAAAAATACATTTTCTATTAGTGGTATTCCCCCATCCCATCCCCGGACAGTTATCACAGAATGCAGATTTTCTGAGTGGAGCAACTTGATCTAAATACTTATTTAGGTCTAACTGCAATAATTTAATTTCCAGTCATTAATTTTATGGACAAGTTTGATTTTATGCTCGTTAAAATTATCTTAATGGTTACTGCTTAATCCATCGTTCAGAAGCCCACGTTATTACTAAGGTAATTTAACACATTTTTTCAGCAGGTCTAGCAAGCAAGAGAATGTTCTTGACATTTGAAATGTATCTTTTTGATGGTACACAAAGTTGAGAGTACAAGGTTAATATTTTATGTTTAGAAATAGAGTTCGGTAATTTGAATTTGATTTGTTTCAGTACATGAGATCGCTTAACAACTTCAGGGCTGAACAGCCTCACCAGCATGCAATGTATTATCTCCGACTCCTGATGACAGAAGTTGCTTGGACCAAAGATGAATTAAAAGAAGCTCTAGATGGTAATGTTCTGCCAGTTTCAAAGTTCGTTATTTTTATTTTTTCTTATGGAAAATGTCTTGCTACAAAACTAATGAAGGTACCTGTTTTGAAATCTGCCCATTATTCAAGTGAAACCCATGCAGTGCCAGACCTGAGCTGATGCTGGTGGATGTCGATCTCTCTGCGCTTGTCGTCCAGTTTCTGGAAAGTGTGGTAGTTCAGGCAAAAGGCCTCAAAAGGCAAAATGTGCAGGGAAGAATTCAGGCAAATCTTGAACGGCTTTGTGGACATGAGCGTGGGTGCAGTGAATCCAGTGCTTAACCAACACTGCTAAAATCATTTGGCTGGAATTGACATCTTGCAGACACACTGGAGTATATCTACATTGTACTTCCCAATGTGCATACTGTTTTGTTTTTTCCATTTCAGGAATTCTTAACTCCTGTTTCTGTAGATAATAAAGAAAAAAAGATATAATTTCTGTAGGTAATAATGATAATAAAGAATGAAGAACATTGTGGTTCTTAACAAAGAGCAGGCACCCCACTATATTTGGAGGAAGAAGAAATTTCAAATTAAGAGATTTAATTGATTTTAATAATAGCTGAAGAACTCTTCCCTGTCTGTATCTGACTGTGTTACAACAAAAGGCTGTTACTGGGACAGTTTGCGAAATATCTTGTGATAGCTTCTTGGAGTATACCAAGACATTATTTTCAAGAAGAATATATGGTTTTTGTATTTATTTGAGGGGGTAGATTCAGAATACACATCCATAGTTGTCAAAGACTGAGACGTACCATACTGTTTGGAGTTGTGGTGCTGAAAACTGCTTCATTAAGATAGACTCCATAGATGCCCTGAGCCAGCTGCACAGTGGTGTGTGCTTTTTAAACAGGATTGCCCCTGGACAGAAATATAAATATTTAGTTGTATAGTTTCTTGAATGATTACAAGTATCTCTGAGATTAGCAGTAGTGCCACTGCGGCTTATGAAGTCAATGACAAAACTAATGCTGATTTTTGTGGCAGTGAGTTCAGCTATATGTAGGTCATTCCTTTTTTAATGACTACTGAATTCTGAAAACATAAGAATTTTTCTGTTCCATGTGCAAGTTGTTTTTAGAAGATTAATGCTACTATATTCAGCATAAGAATAGCTAAATACGGAATGCTGGAAAGGAATGCTGTCTATTTAGTATTCTGGAGATCTGCTGGAAATACGGGGAGTTTATGCATGATTTTTTTCCCCCCTCCTCTTTTCCTGTCTCACACTAAATATGACCCTAATCTTTTGCACTATTAATAAGAAATTCTAGAGGCAAAAATTAGGATTAGTATTATACAAAAATTAAAAGTTGATTTGGAATCGGGGAAAAACGTGGAAATGAATTTTTACTGGTGGTTAGTTACCTCTTTTAACAGGGGGAAGGGCTGATAAGCATAGTATAGGTTTTTCTGATACAAATCACAAATCTGTTAGCTGTATATGCATCCCCCACTGAATAATTGAGTGACCTCTTAATCTTGAAGCATTTATCTTTTCAAAACTTCTGTGAAATCCATGAGTATTGTTAGTTTTTATTTTAGTTGAGAAAATAACAAAATTATAAATTAATAGGTTTGGTGATATAGTGTGGGTATGCTTGTAGTGTCAGGGAATTAAGAACGAAGATAGTGACTTTGGGATGAACCCCTCATCCATTCAACCATCCTTCCTCCCTTATTCCATTGATTCTATATGTTAAACTATACTTTGCATTATACGTGTAAACTGCTTTGCAAAGACAGGCTAAGATAGAATGTGTGTGCATGTGTACTCTGGGATATATTGCAAAATATTTTCTTGTGTATTGTTTGTTACAAAGATACTACCAAAACACCGTATTTGACTTGAGGTTCTTTTTTTAGTCTAGATGGTAAATGCACAGTGTGTTCCTTGAGCATTATAAACTACATGCTGCTTGTTTAGTTAATAACTAAGGCTTTATCTTGGAACACCACCTGAATGATTGCAACTGTTTTCTCTGGGGAATGAATGTTTGTTCAGCATGATTGGAAAGAAGGCGCTTTTTTGTTTTCTTTTTGGAATCTGGGTCAGACGGTATGTGAATTCTAAGCAAAACAAACTATGTGATGGGTGCTGCTATTTAGACCTGGAAGCTTTCCAGTGTTGCATTTTTAAGGAGAGATTTACTTTTTCATGATGGTGATTTTGTCCTCCTCTAAGAAGTGCACCATATCTACTTACTTACTGTAAAAACACACATAATTGATTTAAGTGTCTAAATATCTATTCTAGATGTCACTCTTCCCCGCCTCAAGGCCTTTATAGCTCAACTGTTGTCACGGTTACACATTGAAGCTCTTCTCCATGGCAATATAACAAAACAGGTGGGTGTGATACTTTCTTTAATAAAACAATTTTTATTTAAAAGCAGCATAAAAGATGGAAGACTAGTTTAATCTTCTCAGATCTTAAAGCAGTTTTGTCAAATGTGATTTCATAATTTGACTTTGTGGTTTTTTAATCTTTATGAGAGTATCATAGTGTATTTTTTTCCACTTTAGATTTATTATGCTAAGTGCTGCCCTTGTATTGCTCTTGGAAATTTAACAAAAAACAACTTACGATCTACATATTTTAAAGTCTGTGTTGTGTGTCATTACTGTGATGTGATCAAGCTGCATAAGGAATGATGTGCTGCAGATCATCCTCCATTTAAAACTTTCAGACTAGCTAACAAAGATTTAAGAATCCAAGATCCTTCCAAATGAAGTACTTTGTACAAAGCTAAACATGGATGGTGGGCCATAAAAAATATATGTCAGCTCTCAGCTGTGTCTTTTGGGGAGTAAAAATTGGAAAACATTTGTTCTGTCTTCCATTACAATAGTAACCATTTGTATTTGTATAGGAAGTCTAACCAAATATATGTGTATATTTACCAATACAAACTGTAATACCTGTCTTGCACATTTTTGCCATGTTTTTTTTGTGGGGCTGGTATAGCAGTATTTCTGTGTTATACCAGCTCTGTGACACTTTACTAGCAGGAGATGTTATAAATACTGCTAGTGACTGCTGAATGTGTGGAAAAGAAAGTTAACTAGTAGTTAAACGAGTCCTGTTCAGAACATATGTGTGAACAATCTTCTTGTTGTAAATACTTTTTACAATGTTTTAATATGGTGACTGGATTGGAAGAATGTGTAGCATGTTTCTCTAACCTTTCAAACTGTTAGACCTCAATCTTTTTATCTTTGTTATTGGGTGGGTTTTTTGGGGGTGTGTTGGAGAGGACATGTGTTTATTAAGTTTTCAGACCTTTTGCATGTTTTTGATAAAAACATTTGTCAGTTTGTGGCAGTGCAGATTAAGAGATGTTGGCTTTCAGCCAAAAATACTTTGTAGCAAGTTACTGTAATTTCCGGTCTGCAGGCTACAAGAACACATAACCCTAGCGTAAACCTTAACACCCTACACATAAACAGGTAAAGCTTTTGAAGTTAAATCCTTGAATTAAACTAATTATTTTAAATTTTTTTTCGCTACTTAAGATTTTTATTTTTATTATTTTGATCCATCAGATAAAAGAAAGTATCTGGGCAATGAGTTCTGATACTGCCAGCACGTCAATGGAATGCATGTTTGAATTTAACCCTTAATTTGTTTTTTTTAAAATTCCATCTGGTGAGGTGTCATTTGCTTTGCAAACATACATTGTAGGTATCTGGCTTTCAAACTTTGAAAGATGAGTACATCAAAGTGGTGAAGGGAGAGCGAAAAAAAGCCCATTGAACTTTAATTTCAAAACCGTTAGGGAGGAATAGAACTAGTTAAACATAGAAATAAGACAAATATGAAAAACGCCCACAAAACCCTGTTCCCCCAAACCCCCACTTCCTCTCATCTACTTAACTTCTGCTGTGTTTTTATGAAATTACAATATCCCTACTTTCTATTCTTGGTTCCCCCCCCCCCTTCTCTCGTGTCACCATCAATAATTGGAAAGTCTTACCCTGCTGTTAGGTGCAGAATAACCAACAATCATTAAAAATCGTCTTACATTGTCTCTTCCAGGCAGCACTAGGAATTATGCAGATGGTTGAGGACACTCTGATTGAGCACGCTCATACAAAGCCACTCCTTCCCAGTCAGCTAGTGAGATACAGAGAAGTGCAACTTCCTGACAGTAAGTTAATTTATTTATTTACAATTTTTTAACACACATTCAATTGAGATTCTCTGTCTGCTAATGGGATTTTAAAATTAGTATTACTTTGTTGCTAGGGGTTTGTGTCAAAATCAGACTTACTTCAAATTATTTTAAACTTTAAATTTAAAAATACAGTTAGGGTGTGGTTTTGTTAATGAAATTGTACACTAATATATCATCTTTCTGGTATACTTCAAAATGAATTTGATTTCATTTTTAATCTCTGTATGTAAATTGGATTTCTTGGGGGTAGAAACTCAATAATCTTTAAAGTCCCTTGCAAGACAAACTTCTGTGATTCTGTGATTCAGTCCTAGTTCACTCAGTATGATTTATGGAAATGGGAGCCCTGTCTCACTCTGTGCTACACGTAGTATACACATTTGAATAAACACCATTCTTTAGGTGATTTTGAGGAGCAATTGACCATTCAGTGAAGGATAGACCTAAACAACTCTTGCTTCTTGGAAGAAATAAAAGTTCTTAACACAAGTTAACTTTGTTTTTTTCCTAATATAAATTGTTTTGGTATGGTAGTGTTCGTATATGATTTTACTTCTATTGTGCAAAAAAATCTTAGAAAGGAAGTTCAAGGAATTGATGGAAGTTATACAGAAATGATGATATAATGTCCTGGTTTTGGCTGGGATAGAGTTAATAGCAATACAGCCAAAGCCAATTACCCATAGCTGATCATCAGCCTGTGAAAATTGCCATATACCAAAGAAGCTGTTGGTATTAAATGCTGAATTATTTTTAATGTTCATAAATGTTTCTGACAAATCATCTTTAAAAACTATTTACACAGTAGAGGCAATGCAGAATTCCACTCCAGTTCCAAAAATATTTGCTTGAGAAGCAGCCAATTTCAATTTACTTGCTGATGTGCTCAGGCTATGACATTTCAATGTGTTAAAATAATCTTTTCTTGTTTCATGAAAAGTATGCTGTTAGTGGAAAATGTGCTTTAACAGTCCTAAACCATTTATTGTAATTCCATTCCACAAGTGATAGACCATTATCTTTTTAATGATGGACAAGAAGAGTGTCTGTTTTTGTGAACTTAAATGTTGTAACTTTGTCTTTTAGGAGGTTGGTTTGTGTATCAACAGAGAAATGAAGTTCATAATAATTGTGGCATTGAAATATATTACCAGACAGACATGCAGAGCACTTCTGAGAATATGTTTTTGGAGCTCTTTTGTCAAATTATCTCGGAACCATGCTTCAATACTCTGCGCACCAAGGAACAATTAGGTAGGTTTTCCCATAGTGATTATCTGTGTGTATGCACACATGCACGCATACTCATGCACTTACATGAGACATGATGAGGTGTTCTTTCCCTGCGTAGTGAATGTCATTTAAAGGGAATTTGGTAAATGTGAAGGATTTTAACTGCTTGTGACTCAGACATGTTACTGTGCACATACTCTAAATTGAGAAGAAGCAAGCGTAGTTTTTAAGATGATTCTGAAATATCTGAAACCAACTCCAGCTTAAAAAAATGTTTGATCACTGTGCAGAAAATTTCGTATCTAGAATTTTTACCAAAAGGAGATTAGATCAGCTTCCTAAATTTTAGCTGCGCTTAAAGAATCTGTAGTTGTTCGGTCTTTTCTACTTGTGATCCTACTTCTAAGCACTCTGCATGATTCACAGACCCTAGCTTAGGAATACTGCTGTATGGGTAATGGTAAACTCACATGTTAGTGAAGACTTAAATATGTTTCAGATATTTTAATAATACAGCTGTTCACCAGTAAGTATAAATAATTGTCACCTGAACCAGTAAGAGACTGAGAACTGGTAAGTTACTCCAGACAGGATATTAAGGACAGATAATAGGAGACAGAGGCTTTGTATGACAGTTTGCATGATTGAAATACTGGTGAGGAGGAGTGCAGTTTTTCGAAGGTGAGAGGCAGGGGCATGTCTCAGTGTGATGGCTATGAACTACCGGGGAGATCAGGCAAGGTTAGACTTTGTGAGCAACTCGCAGAATCAGCCATACTATATTGATCATAGGGATTTTAACTATCGAGATATCTGTTGAAAATAGAGCAGAACCCAGGTCATTTAGCAGGGTTTTGGAATGTGCTGGTGGAAGATTTCGTATAGAAGTTGGAGGTAACAGCTAAAGAGGAGGGGGTGAACCCGTGAGATAGAACTGTGTGTGTCCAGCACTGCGTAACTGCCAAATTATGATAGAGTTCACAAGACTTAAGAGGGAAGACAGTAGAATTACCAGCAAAATTCAGTAAACTTCGTGGAATTGTTAGTAAGATCTCTGAGAAAGCCAAGGGAAAAAGGAGTTCAGGAGTTAGGAGTTTGCTAAGCAGTAGAAGTGGTAACAAGAACTCATTCAGTAATACTTTAGCAGTGTGAGAAATAGAAAAGTTGTCAATGGTGGAAAAAAAAAGTCCAAATGTTTAGGATGGTTTTGTTAGTTTTCACTGAAAATATCAACTGTGACTAGATGATTTCCAAAATAAATACCAGTGATCAAAGTCCAAGGCTTACCTTTGAAAAGGAAAATAACAGATTAAAGGTTGTTCAGGTGAATTAGAAGCTTTTAAAGAGTTCAGGCATGATGAACTCTACCTTACATTACAAAAAAAAAGAAAAGAAAAGAAATCAAGCCTGGAATTAGAAATCTTGTAGCTGAGAATTTGTGGATGATAGATGAGGTACTGGAAAATAAACACAGGTAAATGTTACACATTTCCTTAAAGGAAAGTGAAGAGGGGGGAAATAGCACATCAGTCAGCTTAGTTAAAATTCCTGGAAAATAAGGAATAAGTTACCAGTTACCAAACAGGTTCTAAATGTTAAATATAGAAGATAACAGAGACTACTTCTGGACAAACGCAGGTCAAACTAACCTAACATTTTTTAATACAGACTTTGGCTGTATGGATGGAAGTGGTGATGTCGTATGTCTCTTGGTAGTATGAAAGGTGTGTAACATTCGCAGACAAGCCAGAGAGAGCACCTAGGTGGTAATGCTCCACATTTGGATGCAAGGCTGTTTAAAAAATCATGACTGGAGAATAGATAGGAGTAGTTCATTAGAAAAATGGTCTTCTACAGAGCTCTGCTGTGATCCAATGCTATTTAGTATTTTCATCAAAACCCTGGATGGCAGAAGAGTGAATATACTTACTAAATCTTCAGATAATACTAAGCTGGGAGAGGCTGCAAGTGTGTGGGAAGATAGAATTAGAATTCAAAATTAGTTTGACATTTTGGAAACATGACTTGAACGAAGAGAATACGCAATTTGGTAGGAACAGTTTGGCAGGAATAATCAGTGGCACAGATACAAGGTAGGAAGTAACTGGCTAGGTAGTAGTTATGTAGAAAACAATCTACAGGTTACAGTGGATCAGAATTAGGACATAAATCAGCAGTGTTGTGCTGCTGTGTAAAATGCTGGGACATACAAATGGCAGCTTCCAAGATGGACACACAGTAATGCTCCTATATTTTTCAGGTAAGGACTTTGAAATACTGCATCCATATTTGACATGAGCATTGAGGAATGGTTAGAGAGCTATGAAAAAAAACACTTAAAGACTGAAATATGACAGATTTGTTATTAAGAGAGGGGAAGAAGACTGAAAAAAAGGCTTGGGTGTTCAGATAAGCAAAAGCTGCAACAAAAAGGAAGGGAATAATATTTTATTTGTATCTAATTGATAAGATGAAAAATAGTGGTCTTACATTTCAGCAAAGGGAATTCAGATCAGACGTTATGAAAAAATAGTAAGAAGTTCCTGACGTTGAGTCTAGTGACGCACATGAGTACAGCTTAATTTCTGGTTACATAATCCTGATGACAGAATTCCTTTTGTTCTGCCTTGGTCTGCCTCATCTCCTCCTTGCCTCTCCCCTGAACTGATATTTACCTCAGTGAAATAAAGATGTTTTAAAAAAAATACAGCGGCATATTTTGAAAACCTGCATATTTCATTTATAATACAGAATTCAACTTAGCATAAAATTGTATTGCTGTCAGCATGCTGTTTTTGGCAGACTTGATGCTGGAACAAGGGATTTCTTTTAATTTGTGATTGTTCTTGTTTTGTCAAGGCTACATTGTGTTCAGTGGTCCACGTAGGGCAAATGGCATACAAGGGCTGCGATTTATTATCCAATCTGAAAAGCCACCACACTATTTAGAAAGCAGAGTTGAAGCGTTCTTAAAAACTATGGAGAAATGCATAGAAGATATGACAGAAGAGGCCTTCCAAAAACACATCCAGGCTTTAGCAATTCGTCGTCTAGACAAACCAAAGAAGCTGTCTGCAGAATGCGCTAAATACTGGGGAGAAATCATTTCCCAGCAGTATAACTTTGACAGAGGTAAGACAAATTATAATTCCTTTAAAACTGAATGCTGTAGTTTGACTACACTTGTGACTGTTGCGTGTCATATTCATTTGGGAACGACTTAAACTTCTATGTAGCCTGTGCATAATTTAAAATATCTTTGTGATTTGTGTCCTGTAAGTTGTATTTCTTCTGTCTGCCCTGAGAAAATACCTCATTTGTGGAGCCTGTGCTCTCAGTGCTCTGGGAGCTGTTAGTAATAGAGGATAAACTTTTCCCTGACATTCACCGTATCATGGGGGGTGGCAAATGCTTCATTGACTTTCCATTCTTTCCCTTAAGGCTCAGTGAGACAATAGGTCATGGACTGAAAGTGGTTTGAATGCAAATGTTGGTGTCGCATAAGCTCAGGTTTCTTTCTGTGCTATTCAGACGTCTGTATTACATATGTGCCTAATACTTGACTGAGATGCATTCAAATACACTTCGGCATTTCTGATGTACACGCAATCAAATGAACCCTATTCCTCTTCGTGTTGCGCAGTTCTTTTGAGGGAGCGATGGCCGAGGCAACAGCAGGTATCTTAACCGATATCTGACCTGTCTCAGCTTAGAGTGGACTTGAAGAAATATTTTTTGTTTGTTTGTTTGTTTTTTCTTCCATTCATGATATTTTGAAGATTATAAGCTTGTAGAAGACCAATCAAGATCCAACTTCTATTGTTATTACTGATAATGGACTGACAGTTATTTACATTGTGTATTTCAGTTTTATTTTTCCCTTTTCATCACTGTTTGAAGATTTTTAATCCAAAATACTGAGGCACATTAGTAATACCATTTCTAACATTAAAAAAAAAAGTGTTAGGTACACATTGTATTTTCCTCACATTTTCATGTCTAAACTCTTAATCGCAGCTGTAATTTTCCATCTTCCATGCATAATATGCGTCCGACATAAAACTCACTCTGTATCCTGTGTCTTCTTTCTGCTTTACATGCACAGCATTGGCCTTTCACAGTAGCAAATACAGTCTTTTTTGTTGACAATGACAAACTGAACTGTTTTAATAATTTTAATAAGAATTTTGAATTGTCAGCTAGCTTGGTCTCAAGAGAATGACAGCTACTGACAAGGTTTCATGCCTGAGTATAAGGAGTGGAATGGAAGCTTATCCCCTCAACTACTTTTTTTTTTTTTTTTTTTTTTTTTTATTAAAACATTAAATTTTTTTTTTTTTTTTTTTTTTTTGTCTCATGAAACCATTAAATTTTTCTCTGCTTTAAGTGTTTCTGGTTTTACCATACTTGGATCTGTATTACCTCTCTGGAATGTCTTACTGCTAGCTGTAGCCATATCTTTCAGATCTAAATCCCACTCAGCTTACCGTTTTCCTTCACTTTTATATCTTTAATTCACCTCTACACACTAGTAATTTGATTTCATTAATGATTCTTATATGTCTGGAATTGTCAAAACCAGAAATTCATATTCCAGCCTTAAGAAGTGAAAGGGGTTTTACTTTTTTATTATTATTACTTTTAGTGTTTATGTAAAAATTTTCTCCCAAATGTCATCTGGTTTTCCAAACTGTGTTTATTTTTTTAATTACTTCCGGGTAGAATTTCATATTAATTATTCACAGCCTGTCTCACAGACTCATTAGCTGTGTATTTGTTCTCTTGCATGCATTTCTTGCTTGGTCTTCCTGCTAACTGTAAGAAAAGCAAGTATGCGTACAACAAAAACCATTCCTGTTTATGCAGCAATGATATTACATTATTAGTTCATTACAATTTAATTTACATGAAATTATGTAGCTACTGAGACATATTGTTCCCAGATATCCTAAAAGTGATTATTCCTTAACAGGTATGGTATAGGTACCATTCCTTACATTTATTTAAAAGTACATCCTGCCAAAGTACGTTATACCATCTTGTTTCCTGTGAATAAAAGCCGTCTACAATCAGCCTGCATTAGAAACATGTAACGTTGATTTGAAGATAAATTACAGAAGTAGGCATATCTTTTTTAGCTACCGAATAATATACAGTACAATCAGTGTTCTTCAAACATGAATTTTTTAGCAAGTCCAATCAAATGGACTTACTGAAGTATAATTTTCTTCCAGCCTTCCAATGACACTTTCAGTGATGTATTAGCTTGAAAGTTAAGAATGAAAAGCATATCATTTGCAGTCATTTAACAGCATCTGAATTTGAAAGAAAAATACTTTGAATAAATAGTGTGCTAATAACCAGCTATGATTTGCAGACTTGTTCTAATTTTTACTATTGTTGTGCAGATAACATTGAAGTGGCTTATCTAAAGACCCTGACCAAGGATGATATTATACAGTTCTACAAAGTAAGTTAGTCATGTAGTTAAAATGTTGCTTGGAAAGAGATTTAGATATAACTGGATGTTAATTATATGAACTATGAAAGGGTATAGTTGTGCCTGGTTTAGGTAAATTATATGATTGATGCAGATACCTTAATAATAATTTTGTTTCCTGAAAGTTACTTAGTTTAATAGCAACTAGCATACTGTAAAAGTTGTGGACAAGGATCGGGTTTTGTTGCGGGGGTGGGTTTTTTTGGTTTTGTTTTTTTTTTTTTTTTTCCCCCGTTACCAGCTCTTATTCTCCTCTTGTCTCATTTATCCTTTCTTTCTGAATAAAAAATGTGCTGCTCTATGACCAAGTCTGGCCAAAATTGCAAATTTGTTCTTTTATTTCTTTTCTGTTCTTCAACCAGGAAATGATTTTGTGTGCATGAACTGTGAATGAAACAGATACTTCTAAAGCTTTGTTCACTGTAAATCAAGACACTTTTTTTTCTTCATCTCAAAGTTAGGCAGGACAAAGGAGCAGCACAATGATGCAATAATTGTATATTGTAACTCGACATGAAGTTACTAGATAGATATCTAAGCAATTAAAATACTAGGGTCCTGTCCCATCACCCCACCCTGTCCTCCTCCCCCCCCCAAATAAATTTGGCCTCATTCTTTTTATTTTGTAACAGATTTCATAGGCAATGATAAGTCACTAGGTTGCAAAGTGTACATATGATTTTATTACTTACGGAGCAGCTAATAGCTCAGGGAATACTTTGAAAAATAATGTAGACTTACGTCTTTGGAACTCATTATTGGATAGAAAAATTTCTGCCCATGAAGAAGCATGGGTATGTGTATATCTGTGTGTTCATATGTTGTCTTTTGAGGGGGGCTAATGTCTTTCAAAATGGTTTCTCTTTTGTACTCTGTCTTACCCTTTTCACCATTGAAGGTCATTTTTACACAACCATCTATTTTTAGGAGATTTAATAATGCTTAAAACTGGTTATTATGTACATGGCACAAGGAGCACTAACATCTTTGGTTTGTTTTGGGTTTTTTTAATAGTGTGATAGCATGAGTGAAGATTTGCAGCAAATACAAGCTTAGTAAATGGAATTTCAGTAGCTACTGTATAATAATGATAACTCAAACAAGTATCCACATGCTGTTTTTGTAGGAGTCTATACTGTTTTGCTTGCACTAACACTCAGTACATGATTATCCAGTATGCCAGAGCAGAAATAACTGGCTAGACTGGTGGGCTAGTCCAGCGGAGTTGAATAATTCTGTTCAGGGTGATGTGCTTCCAGAAGGTTGCCAGTGATTGAGAATTCTGCAGAGATTTTAGGTTGCATTCCTGATACTATGAAAGTTAATGGGTGAATTCCTATTACTGCCAGTTTTTCCGAGTCCCAAACAGTACGTGAATTTCTTAACTTGATTGTAAAATAATTCAAAGTACTGTACGGATGACTTTTAATAATACTTGAAGGGACATCCCAAAATTCATCCCTCATTTTAAAGCTTAAATTAAAATTTAAATGCTTTCATTCTTTTACTGTTTTATAAATATAATATCTGAGTGACAGTTCCGACACCTGAAGGACTCGATGGTTTTTACTGTAGGTGCTGTTGGCAGTAGATGCTCCCAGAAGGCACAAGGTATCAGTACACGTCCTTGCAAGGGAAATGGATTCCTGTAAGTATTGCGCTGAATATAGTATTTAATCAATTCATGTTCAAGCAAGTCATAGTTTAAGACAGCCGTGTTACATGATACAAGTACACTATAAGTAAAACTCAGCTCTGGAGATTATATAACTTACAGAGGAAAAAATATTTCTTTTTATAGGTTTTCTTCACATGAGTGCTTCAAATTTTCTGATTTATGTTTGTGGCCAAGTTTTTCAGCCATTCTGAAGTATATTGATATTAAAATAATATATCTTAAAATAGCACGTCTTTCTTCAGCAGGACCCCACAAAACCCCACAACCCCCTGGGAATGTCAAACATTATGTTTAAGCTTGAGAAAGTCAAAGTTGATGTAGGTTTTATTTTCAAATAATCTGGATTAGCTGTACATTTTAAACTGTGTTGTTCTATTTTAGAATTCAAGAAGGTAAAGGTTAAAATTATTTCTGGTTAATATGAAGAAGCTGAGAGGAAAAACTTCTGTGTTGTTTTGTGTGCATTTTTCACCACTTTATGCTGGACTTAAATTCCAATGTGTAACAGGTTGCAGAATCAAGAATACTAAAGGCTTGTGTTGTAGTACCTACAATGCCAGAATGGTTTGTTGTTTGCTTGGAGTGGTGTTTTCCCAAGATAAGGGTGAGCATGGGAGACAATGTAACAAGCGGTTACTCTTAAAGAGATTATAGCAAGGTATTCTCTCCACATACTCCCCAGTCTAAAACATTTAATGTGGCATGTGGCCTCTTTTCTGCCATGAAGGAGATACTGGGACTTTAATGCATCTCCTGTGAGTCTAAATGAGCATTCTTCCAAGTGCAGGTGCCCGTCCTCTAGCAAGTAACACCAAGGAGGAAGGTTAAAAAGCTTCCCAGAGAGCACCATTCCTCCTGCAGACAGACACACACACCATTTTCTCTGAGAGTGGAAAAGAAATGGAAGCAGTAGAATAGAGATCTGGGATTTTAGGAGGGGGAAGCTCTTGAACTCCCAGGGTGAAGGTTAGGGCTGAAATTTGAGTATGGAGGTGGAAGAGACGTTTAAGGAATTTTAAGACTAGAATTTCTTGCAGACAAGTGGATTGGATGCAGGAAGACGTTTTGGGGGGACTGGAGTAGGGCGGGCAGGGGAGACTTGGGATTGCTATCCAGAGTTTTGGTACATGGAGTAACCCCCACGCCTCTGTAGGCATGTCCTTACTAAAAGATGAGCTGTTGTTGTATTGCTGGCATTTACTACTGTTCTCATAACCACTGACACTTACTAGCATTTACTACTGGCATTTACTACTGTTCTCAGAATTTGTCCTGGAAAATGGTTTGAAGTATTCGTTGATCGGTAGATTAGCAATTTTTATTTCTACATTCTCTTTATGTGTAGGTAGAATGAATAAAAGCCACTGCCCCAGCACATGTTCTCAAGTCAAGTCATGGATTAAGCTCTTTGTATTTTTAAAGACAACCGTGGCGTATAAAACAAAATGTTCAGAAAATCTTATTTAGAGACACTTTAAAATTAATAACCTGTGCTTTCTATAGATACATATCTTATAAGAGGAAACAGTTTATTATGTAAAAGGTCCTCAGTTATGGTCCTGAATTAATTCTGGTGATGTTAAATAGGCCCTGTTGTTGGAGAATTTCCATGCCAAAATGATGTGAACCTGGCACCAGCACCACCACTACCACAGGTAAAAAGAAACAACACACAAAAAATTCCAGGCCGTATTCTTAATCTGGAAGTTTAGTACCATTAAATACAAGTTTATATTTATAACAAACTTCTGGAAATTCAAGCTGTTGTGGGGCTCATGTTTCAGCTCTTTTTCACATGTATTTTGTCCTCAATAACAACAGGGATTTTTCCTGATTTTTTTTCTTTCTTTTTAACAGCCTGTCCTCTGTTACCTTTTGTTCCTTCTATTCCATTGAAATGAAAGCTAACAGCAGTAGTTATCTCTGCTGAGTGTCTACAATATGGAGTAAAATGCACATTATTATTGTCTGAAAATGGTGATTGTATATGATCAGATGTATCAAGTGCCAAGAGAAAGATGCATGTGCATCAACAAATTTATCACCTTTGTTTAAAAAAAAAAACAAAAAAAAACCAAACAAAATTCAGTCCCAAACCACCACCACCAAAACCAACTATCTGATCATTACCTTAAAGACTAAAATAGTAATGCACATTCCTGTCAATGTGTAACCTGTGTCGGAAGCAATTTGACAAATTCTATTCATACAAGTATCACAGATTTCACTGTGTGGTTAGATATGGTAGCACTGGGCCCTTACTGGACCTTAAATGTATTTTCTTGAAGAAGGATGGTAGCGTTCATCCCAATAGATAACTAATTTTTCCCAGTGCAGTAGTAAATCTGTGTTCTTATTCAGTACATGGTGAAATAATCACCATGGATGGAAATCTCTATAAATTATATGTGGATATATTAGCCAGTGTGACTGAAATATTAAAAAGTTACTTTGTTGCTGCAACTAAAAAAAATGACTCATTGAATTGCTATTTTTATGATCTTACCTCTGATATTCAAAGTATAGGTGGGATGTTCAGAGGTAGAATTTGTAAATGAGTAGACAAGCTCTGCATTTACTAAAGTTCCTGCCATTATTAGTAATGCAATTACTGCATTATAGCTATTGTTTTAAATTATCTAGACTAAATACGAAACCATTTATTTCATAAGAAATAACACTATATCTGGGGGGATCCTGTAATCATGAAATGTGAATCACTAATACCATAGAAAAGAGCAAGAATGGTGTGTTTATATGTAGCTGTAGAGAAAGTTAAAATGGAAAGCGAGGAATTTCTCACTTTTCTGATTAAAGACATTGAGCAGACTTTTTCTTGCGTACGTTTCTTTGCAGCCAAGTGTGATTGAAAATATGACAGAATTCAAAGGCAGTTTGAACTTTCCACTGGTGAAACCACATATCAATTTCATGGCTGCAAAATTGTGAAGATCCCCAATGGATGAAGAAATGCATATGATGAGTACTGACATGGTTTCAGGGGACTTCATGATGCACAAAATTATTAAAGATCATTAGGATAAATGGCTCTGTCCGTTATGAAAGTCCCGAATTCCTTCTTGATTCTTTTGACATTAGCTGTGTGTTAGGGATAGAGAGTATATAAAAATCAGTTGTGGTCATGTGTCATTTATATTACAGACAACCTGTTGAAAACCAAAATCAACTGAAACAATAAAAAACTTGTAGATGCAGTATATTTTTAAAATAGTATATCCCTTCAAATTTCCATTTTGATAAAATAACCCTCCAGAGGACACAAAATTGCTTAAAATATCCTTACTACTCCTGAGAAACACTGTTTAGTATCCCAATAATTATCTTATTGGGGGCTGGAGGGGGTGAGAAAAGCAGGTCCTTTTTGGGATGGGGTCAACAATTTTTCTTAAAAATAGAGACTTTCACTTTTTTTTGAAGTGACATGTTGAATGATACTTTTTTAATTGATCCTTAATGCAACCAACATATTTTCTATTTAAGTTTTATGAAGACCAGTGAGGAGGAAAAAAAAAAAAAGGAAATTTGACAACACAGCAGTAAGAGTCTTAATGAGAATAATTGAAGATATGGGCATAATTTTAATCTTTCTATACAAATTTGGGGACATTTTATATTAAAACTAGTAAAATGCTGCAGACACTTTAATAGTGCATCTAGATTTTGTTACAAAAGTGTTGTCCTGAGCTCTCGATACTGTCCACATCCTGTTCAGTTCTTCAGTGTTACTATGAATTGTTGCCATTTGGTATCTGAAATACTTTATTTGGTGTCATTTTTTGTTTTCAGTTGCACATGTACTGATGGAGAACTCAAGTCTATTTTGCCTCATTTGTTATGTTAGGTCTCAGCCCATCAAAGTACTTACTGGTGCAGATGACTTTAAGCACATGATAGTTCTTGACTCAAGAACAGGTGAATGTCAGATATGGGCTCTGTGATGAATCGGATACGTCACTGTTCTGATACATCTGTGTGGATCCGTCTTGTCTTTCAGGAAGGCATTTGGGACAGTGCAGTACTGCTGTAGCACGGGGTGTGGTGCAGGTTACATCACAAAATGTTTGTTCCTACTTTTTTTAAGAAGGCTGCACAAAACCCAGAAGGATCAAGAATCATGCTGAAATACTATGTGTGTATATATTCCATAATTTAGTAAAACAATATATGGTGTCTAATCTTCACCAAGTTTACCGACTTCTGCAGAGCGGTCTTGTGCTTGGGACAGCCCCCAAATAGACAAAGGTAAGGGAGCATTTTACAAAGCTCTCCTACCTGTTTAATGCATAAAATTGATTGTAGTTATTCAGACAGGTTAGAGTATGCAAAGCACTGAAGATATCAAATCTGCTCATCAGGAGTGTTACTGAGAGTTTGCTTCTTATTAAAAGAACCTGAAACTAAGGCACTAATGTGACATGAATGTTGTCATACATCAGAATCCTGGTATATTTGATAGGGCTGTTCTTGTCATTGAAGCAATGTTCGTTCTCATGCTGGCTCTGAAGCAAAATTAAATGAATGCTTGACAGAGTAAGGGCCTTAAACTGTATTTATCTGAGAGTCTCTTCTAACTGAATGAACACAGTGTATTTAAGAGTTGTTTTAGAGGTTAACAATACATGTTTCAACATTTTTTTAATAAATTTGATAATAGTTTGTGATGTAACCTCTTGCCAAGGAAGGCCACTAGCTTGTTTTTGTAGGCTGAGGAGAAAAATAATTAAACATAGTATAAGCAGAAACAGTAAAGGTGTCTCTGTTCACCACATTTTTTGTGGGTCCTTCATAAAATGGGCTTTTTACCCTCTTCCATTTTGCTTTTGTTTATAGTTTTCCTTTAGTAATAGTATTTGTATTATATATATTAAAATTTTGACAACACATTATAAAAATATATATTTTGGGATTTAGTATTTAAACGTACCACTCTTACGGTAAATGAAATGGCTTCTATTGTGTGTAAAAATAAATTGATACATATATATTCATGGAAGTACTATCAACTCTAGTTTTAACAAATTATATAAATAAATTGGAATGGCAGTGTATTTAACACAAGCTCACAAATCATGTTTTCCAGAGGAAAAAAGGTAGAATTTCAAAGTTCCATGACTGGAAGTGGAAACCCATGTAGTTTTCCAGCAACTCTTAATTGCTTTGAAGTGTTCTCCAGCATTTTACAGTTTCTGAGTTTGATATAGCAGTAAATTTTGATAAACTCAGGCATACTATTGGGTTCATTTTAATGGATCCAAAGCTGCAGTGTCTACAAGCAATAAAAAACTACCTAGAATACACTGTAATTCAATTTTAGTGCTTGTTAATTAGTGTATGTAAGAAACCATAAATTATTATTACAGAACTGTAATTTTTGCAAGTGCTATTTTAAGCAGTTGATGTGGAATTGGGTGCATGTGACACAGCCAGTATGACAGAGTGCTAGAATTATTCTGTTTACAATAAACAATCTGAATTTAATGTTTGGAGTTCTTAATTTGCTTCATTTTAATTTTTTTTGCATACTGGAAATGTTACATCTATCAGTCTGTGTGTGTTGTTTACTATCTGTTAATGTGTGATTCTTCTGCGATACAGTTGCTTGGACTAGTCAGGCTGCATAGCATTGCTGGAGAAGTGTTCCCAGTCACTTCTGGGGAAGTTGCAGAGGACTTCCCCATGTGGCATCCCACACCTCTTAAGTAAATCCACCTCTGTTGCTCTTTGAATGTGTGAAGACTTCATAACATAAAGGTAGAGATATTTGCACAAGGCAGGATTTTAATTACCCAGTCTGTAAATTCAGAGCATCACTGCAGCCAGACTGAATTGTGCCTAGTGCAGCTTTACAGTGTTGCTTTTGAGGAGTTACTTTTCCCTGGTCGTTTTTGTTTCTTGCACACCAGAAGATTACATTTAGAAAGGTTAGGAGTAAGTGGGATTGTTAGAATGGTAAATAGCGTCTATTCTGAATTCTGACAGCGTAAAGATACAAGTCAGCAGGCACTTTTGCTGTTCTAATGGGGCTCCTTGAAGTAGTGTCTTGACAGTCAGCAAGAGAGACAGCTTTTGTCCTTGGCACTGGGGAAGAGTGGTTGGTCCTCTCAGTGGAGAAATAAAATGCCTGCAACCCACCTGGAAAATTATTTGTCCCCAAGATCAGGGCTCTCTTTCTCCACTCCCAGTTGTTAGGGATTGGTGTAAATCTTGACTCTTTGGCTTTACTGTCTTTTGCAAAAAATTAAGCTATCCAAATTTACTTTGACTATTACTGTTAGCAATAAAAAAATGCTTGAGCATTTTCAGAATATTGCTAAGCGCTTGAACAAGAGCAACCCTTATCAATAATGTGTTCCACAGTGCAGTCACAATATGTGGGGAAAACATTACACACCTTTTTAACTTCATTTATTATTTTCTAGCTCTTGTTTTAACACCAAGGTCAGCAGAATTTTAGTCTATCTTCTCTCTACCATTTAACTGGTTCGTACGCTTTTGCTGTAGGTCCACTGTAAAGTGAAAAATCGTTATCTTCTACACCCTTCTTCATGTTTTTTCTATTTTTTTTTTAATTTTAGTAGCTGACCTTTGAACTGATATGGTCATTTGCAGTGACACCCGGGTCCTTCCCTTGAGCTGATACCTAATTTGATATTCAAATCCAGCTCTGAAATACTCCGTTTTCAAGTCCATTTTTAATATTGTTGCTGCGTGCTGCATAATACAAGGCACCTCTGTGCTGTTGTAAAAGCAGAAGAGATCAGAAACTCGGGTACCTTTCTTACCTTTCATATAATTTCAAAAGCAGCCTGGCCTGTGTAGGTTCTGCTGAAAGGCCTTTATTTGAAACATTTCAGAGTCTATTTACCATTCAAAGAATATGCTCGTAAGTTGTAGTATGTGCTTTTCATGGAATATAACGCTAGTAGTGTGTGAAGTCTGAATTGCAGCTCAAAGGAAGAAAGTGTGTGTAAGGCCAAAGGCCCAGCAGAATGGGAAATGTCACAGTTAAACCAACTTATTTGAACGCAGGCATCTAAACAGAATTTAAGATTGAAAATATGTATGGCCTTTTAAATTAATATTTCTAAGCCACCCCAAGGCTGTTAACCTGAAGTGCAGCATTAAAGGATGTAGACACCACACTGCTGAGCATTTGCCACTGTTAACGTTTAGGACTTCCTCTTCAGTGGTGCAGTGCAACATTTTGAATTAAATTTCATGGCTGTTGGTGAGGGAAGATACGCTCTTGATGAGGGAAGACACACAGCTCCAAGTGGACTTCACGCTGCTGTGGCACTGAGCGAGGAGGCAACTAGGCTTAGCCAGTGGGAAACTCTAGTGAGAGGCGCCTGAGTTCAAATCCTACATCTTTCTGAGGATTCTCCACCACCAAGCTGTGTATTAGACATGCTTCCTTCTGCTCCAGATTTGCATTACAGCTTTTCACTGCCTGCTCGGCTTCGCTTTCAAGAATGGGAGCAAGGAATTGCGGCGCTTTCCTAGTGACTGCCAAAGATAGGTAAACTTTATACAGGAGCGGCAGCTGGAACTCAGGACCCCCTTGTAGCTCTCCCCTCCACCCATACGCAGAACTGGGTGTCCCACAGTACACGTGGGCTCGTACTTGCCCATGTTCTGGTGCTGAATGCTTGCTCTACAAAATTAGAACAGGTTCAACAGAATGCAATGAGGAGGTCGCCAACTGACGTTAATGACCTTCTGGGAAGTGGGAGACATAGGCTAGAGAAAATTCTAACAAGATGGAAATGAAGTTGATTTTTTGGTAACTTGCGCTAACTGCTGAGTTGTGGCACAGTAAAACATGCGTTTTATGTGAAGTCTGTCATAAAGGATAAACTCCTGTGATGGGAAAGATAGAAGACGACCTGCTTGTGAATTCCAGGGAGATGTAGGAGATCAATACTAACGCACTTTACATGGTTAAGGTGGAGTCATTTCAGAGCATGTGCAAAAATGGTATTCTGGGATACCGAATGTAGAAAATGTGGGTGTGTACAAATGCCAGTGAAAACGGAGGCTGGGCTTTGAAGATTGAAATTTTGTATGTGATGCCTTTAAGTGGACAGGGGTCTTAAAAA